TAGTAAGCTTAGTGAGATCAAAACCAGTTTCTTTTATTCGGACCAATCTTTACGACTGAACTTTACATACGACGAATGCGTGTGAGAAACATTCGCGCTTTTGACAAAACGTGAGTTTATAGCGGCGATAATCTAACTTTCTAAGTTAATGATGTCCAAGCTCAACCTCAGTCACCTTAAGGTTTTTGGTGGCTCTTTCACAAGGTACTAGAGAGTTTTTCCTACAAAAGGACATCCCAGTAGCAGATTTCGTAGAAATTATAAGTTTAAGTCTGTGCGTAACGGTCATATATGGGATTTTTCCTTAGATTTTGAGAAGTTAAATTGTGTTTTTAAGGTGACATAAAGTTTTTTGCATCATGGGCTGTTTACTACGCATTCTGAAGCGGTGCGAATGCTCAGTATAACTTGATGCATCAGTATTAGAGTAAAGTGGTAGAGCTGAACACCCTTTTTGAGATGATGTAAAAAATTTTATGGGCAATAGGCTTGTTTAAAAGCAAATTCTTCAAGAAAAGTAATGAAACATTAGTTCAGTAGTAACCACAGACAACAGCTCTCATTACTTCCGACACTTTCTCAGAGAAAAAATAGAATTGGAATAAAAAACATTAAATTTAGATGATATTTATTTTTGGCTTCTCTACCTACATTATCTGAAACCATTGCTTTATGACTTCACTCTAAATTGTTTGCGAAAATGAAGATTAGTGTTGGACTGTCAAAATCTTCAGATTGATTTCTTGCATATAATTTTGTAGTAATAAAATATTCAAGATTATCAGGCGCCATCCAAATACATTCCCATCTCTTCCCTTATCATTAGTACAAGTAAAGGAGATAACATGAATACCTTCGTTTTCCGGCATCAGCTGGATGGACATCTGCTGGATTATTAAAGAGCCTCTCCAGTCTCCGCTGAGCTGGCCCTCTGTTCCCAGCGTTTGGAGATTCCTGATCGAAGTTGAATGGAGGCTAAAAATTGCTCAAACCCTGTGAAAATGTTTAAGAAGATGTGCTTATCACCCACTTGATCTTTCTTCTCCATGGTTCCAAATAAAGAGTCCCTCCTATTCTCCAAAGCACGAATAGTACCTTTCGTTAACGTTAACCGACGTCGGCTGTCTCTTGAGGAAAAACCTGGTTCTTGAACTTCGCTAGAGAGGGCAAAAAATCTAAAAGTCAATAAAAATTAACGACCTATTCGTACTTGATCTTACTTTATGAAAATTGAATAAGTGACCTTTTTTTGAAGGCCGCATCAAGGGTTTCCGTTTTCCGTTTCATTAGAGAAAGACGCGAGGATTCCAGATTCTGTACCACACGACGGCGGCCGATCTGCTCTCCCTGGAAATCAATCTTTAAACTATTTTGTCGGTTCTCCTTAGGCAACTACCTGTCCGTCGTCCCTTGACTCATCAACCCCACGGATCGCCTGCAGTTCCCTAGCAATCTCCACAGCATTCTGGACGACTAACTCATCTTCACTTAACTTTCCAATCGTCTTACGGAAGCAGAACAATTCCGTTGAAGCTATGATGTGAGCCAAAGTGCCAAATCGATGGCAAAGCATCGCAAAGAACTATAATTTTGAGGTACATTTGCTCTATTACCAAAATGACTCAGATGACATACCTGGATAATGAGAATACTCATAAAGAAGATCAGAAATACTAGTCCAAGAGGTTCCAACTGGAGTCGAGTCACCACCCAAATCTCCTGTAAGAAGGTAGAAATGTTGCTTTGTCTTTGACATAAAGTGAATAACTGACCTCTTTGATATCTCCATGACAAGGACGCACTGTGTGATTGTACTTAGGTCCAATAGGCCATTCTATATGAAGACAGTCTTTCTGCAGCTGTAGCACCAGGATGATGATGATAAAGACGACGTTAACCATGAAGAAAGTGGAGACAACCT